TCGTCGTCTCGGTCGTCGTCGTCGCTGTGACTTTGGTGTGGGCGGGTCGGGAATAGCACTGCCCGCGCACGGCGCGTGGCACCGCACGCGCACCGGAAGGGGGGGGGTTAGGTTAGGTTAGGTTAGGTTAGGTTGGGGGGGGGGGCACAACTGCCATATACACTAGGGTGGAGCGATGGGTCTAAAATTGAAAAATTCTTTCACAGAAATGGGACCTTTACTGTAAGACTAGTGCCAAAACAGTTTGGCAGATGGCGGAAAACATCAAAATACAGGAAAAACAACGATTTTCACGCCGTTTTTTGACAAAAACGGCCTTTGCCAAAGACCTTGTCCGAAAGCTCCCCCCAATAATTCACAGCATTCGGACATATTCCGCACCAAAAGCGAGATAGGGCATGTCAAATTTGTCCCTGGTTCCAATGTTATGCTCGTAAAAGTGTAATTTTCGACGTTTAGACCCATTTTTGAGGCCTCTGATGGGCAAGAAGGAGGCGGCCCCGGCCAAAACTGTTTCGGCACTAGTCTTATAGCATCCTAAGGGGCCCATTTCTGTGAAAGAATTTTCGATTTTAGACCCATCGCTCCACCCTACCCCGTAAGTGCGAGGGAGAAAGCGCGACGAAAGGGGCTCTCAGTAGAGAGACCAAATGAGCGGACACTGCTGTCGGCGGCTGTCGGCATGTGTTGCGAGCCGAAGCATTTTTCGGCTTCCGAAGATACCCGAACTCGTCGCCGAACGCTCGTTGAAACCTCTGTTTCCGGATCGACACCCGCCTTTTTCGGAAGCAGGCCAACAGGGACCCCCGCCTCACCCCTCGCCCGGCATCTGTCACAAACCCTCTCGACAGGTGCTGCCCTCTAGCGGCTGTCGTTCGGCTCCGAGCGACCCGTCGGCCGCCCTTCGGGTCGCTTCGGCGTCCGAGCCTGGCGAGCTTTGCCGTGTCCGCCCGCCCGGCTCGGCACGAAACGGAGCCGAACGAGCCGAAGCTCGCACCTTCGTTTGTTTCCGGACAAACGGACAGCCAAGTCCGCTCGTTTGGTCTCTCTACCACAGGGGGGGGGGGGGGGGGGGGGGTACTTTTCTTACCCTGTACTTTTCTTCCCCAACTTACCTCTAATACTACGCTTTAGTTTTACCAGTGCATCCAAGAGCATTTCATCAAGGTGATACACACGCCCTTGGATTGAGAACTCATTTTTGTCAGTGTGCCGCCCCAGGCACGCTCACGTTGGCTTCAACATTCGCGCCACGTGGCTGACGGCGCCGACGCGGTCCTGGCCGCCGTAGAGGCCGTCGCCGGCCGTCGCCGGCCGATCGAAGAGTCTTTTCGTCGCTCCTTCGCACTCACTCTCCGTAAGGGTGCGAGAGAGACAGAGCGACAAACTGATCTCACTCGGCGCTGCGGCGCGCCGCCATGCAAAATGGATCGGCAGTGCGGTGCTGGACGGGCGGCGGGGGCGGCCAACGAACTGGCTCCGAAGTCCCGTGTGTGGGTGCGAGAGAGACATCACGTTGAAATCCACGTCTCACAGTGGGCCAGAAGACCGGTGGAGGCAGCCAAAATTCCAGACGCTTTTTGAGTTTCACAGTCGCTTAACAGGACTCGAACCGAGCAGGTGGTGGCCCCACCTATGGATTCCTCGTTCGGAGAGCAATCCATTGCACTGTGCGAAAAAACCACAGTGAATCCCGTTAATTTTTTTGCCGGGATTTACTGTAGTTCAGAACACAGGATTTACCGTGCCTGGCTACAGTATCTACTGTACCTGGTACAGGATATTCCGTACTCCACCCCTGTGGTACAGTAAATCCCGTACAAAGTACAGTAGATCCTGTTAAAAAAGTACAGTAAATCCTGTACTCTGAACTACAGTGACAGCTGTACTAATCACTGCAGGATTTACTGTGATTTTTTCCCACAGTGTGGTGCGGTCACACGTTCGGAATGAGTCCCATTAGCGACTCTGGTGAACGGGTTTTTCCGTTTTCACAGTTTGTTGACAAGAGGGTGAAAGCTGCAGACTGATTCCAAGAGTCCTTTTCGTCGCTCCGTCTCTATCGCGCTCATGGGGCGTGGGGTGCGAGAGAGACAAAACGACTCTCGGAATCCGTCTGCTGAGTCGGTGGGTGGTTCCCGACGGGGCGGCGGTTTCGCAATGTTAGGTTTTCCGGTTCGGGAGAGACTCTAGCCTCGGTGCAGGTCCGAGGTCTGGACGAGGCCTCCTGCCTCAGGAAATGAAGTTCGGCCTGAAGCTCGACTTTCATCTTGTTGCGCGGCCTGGTGGGCCATCGACGTCCCGGTCGCCGACCTCGTGGACACGCGGAGCAACAGGGGTGGATCCGGACGCGGGGGTTGGGGGTAGGGGTGGGGGTGGCGCAAAAGTTGCCTGCACTGTCAAACCAACCTGGTGCGGAGTAATTCGCCAATTCGCCACAGAAAGACGCGTGGTGTTTGCAGTCTCCGCACTTCAAGTGCGTAGTTGCTCACAGAGCCCCTATCTGCCGCGACTAAACAGCGCGGCCTCACTCGTGTAAATTTTGTCAGAATGTCAGAAACATGTCTGAAATCCTGATCAAAATTCGCGCACCTCTAAAAGCTGAAATTCTGAAAAATTACTCTGAAATTGATGGTTTGAATTCTACAGAATGTCATAGGGGGTTTTCAGCTTGCAGAGGTGCGCGAATTTTGATCAGGTTTTCAGACAGGTTTCTGACATCCGGACAAGATCTACCCGAGTGCTCCCGATCGCTGTCCTGCTGCTCCATGGCCGCGCCCCCCGCGGGCCTCGCTCCAGGGGGAATCATTATGCTGTGTCGGAGACTGCTTGTCGGCCGTCCGTCCCGCGTTGCTTCTCGTTTACTTAGTTGGCCAACTTGGGGCCCAGCCTGACCTTCTGGAATCCTGGCACACGGCCCATTGACTCTCCTTCCTCGAACTCTGAACTCTGGCGCCCACGCCTGGCAGCATGGCGCCGCGGTGGGGGCCTAAACACGGCCAGTTTTCCGCCTCGAGCCACAAGGGGCCTTGTTATAGTGAGTGGTCAGCCCCCTCCCCCCCCCCCCCCCCCCCCCCTCCCAGAGGCTACCTCAGCAGCCCGATTCAAAGGAACAACGCCCACCTGCCAGTGCACCTTAGTGTTTGGTAGTGTGTGTGTGTGAGAGAGAGAGACACAGAGAGAGAGAGCGCGTGCCCTGCGCCCCCAAGCCAAGCGGGGCCCGACGAGTTGCCGGCGCAGCGGAGCGGAACAGATTGTGGAGAACTGCATGGCGTTGATAGAGGAGCAGGAGGCAATGGTCCAGTGTGGTGGTCTTCTCCAAACTGAAAAATCAGAATTCATCTGCGGAATTCTGTTTTGGATGACGTTTTGTGTTCTTTCGCCCGTCAACTTTGTCGCAGTGGCGGATCCAGACGCGGCTTATGGGGGGGGGGGGCAAAGTAGCACTTTTTGGCTACTTACAGAGGCAGGGTAGCGCTTTTTGCCTACCTTTCAGGTGGGCTAGGGGCTATGGGAGGGGGGCAAAACCCCCACTGCCCCCCTGTATCAGCGCCTGCTTTGTTAGCCCTGATTTCCAAGTATGCACCTTTACAGTGGCACCCCTCGAGGTGGTGTGCTGGGCAGTCTTTCAAACTAACAGCCACCTGCCTGAGCCTCTGCCCGCCGCCACCGTCCGAAAGGGCGAGCGGCTGCACCCCGCAGTCGCCCCTGAGTCGTTTTCGTCGCTCTGTCCCTCTCGCACCCACACGGAACGACACACGAGTGCGAGGGAGACAGAGCGACGAAAACGACTCTCAGTCTGCTGTCCACTCCTGCCCACTCGCCCCCTCCCCGCGCGGTGCGCTAACCACACAGACGCTTCCGCGGGGAAATTGAAGCTGTCACCCCGCAAGCAGTAAGGCCCTCCGTCCGAGGACTCGGGGGCGGGGCGGGGCGGGGCGGGGCGCGCTGTGGACGCGTGCCGTCCGAGCGTCGCGTCGACTTGCCGGCAAGGCGGCGCCGGCCGGGCCGGGCGGTCCCGAAGAGTGGCGCTTATGCGTCGCGTCGCCCTCGCACACCTACGCGGGACGCCCCATGAGTGTGAGAGAGACGGCGTGCCACGCACTATACACCACTGATCGGAATCGGTTTAGAGAGAGAGAGAGAGTGGACGGGAGCGCTCGGCCTTCCTCCTCAATCATTGCCGCCTTTTCTCGTCCTGCCGACTGATTCCGAGAGCCGTTTTCGTCGCTCTGCCTCTCTCGCACTCACGGGGCGCCCCGTTGGGGTGCGAGAGAGACAGAGCGACGAAAACGGCTCTCGGAATCAGCCCGCATTGCAGCAATTAGAGTCTTTCTTTAGCCGTCCGCTCGGCCGCGGGGCTGTCGGTGCTAACTGCTGGGCCGTGTTCCCGGGGCGGCAGACTGATTCCGAGAGTTGTCTTCGTCGCTCTGTCTGTCTCGCACTCATGGGGCGTCCCGTATAGGTGCGAGAGAGACAGAGCGACGAAAACGTCTCTCGGAATCGGTCTGCCACCTGGGCCCGGTCCGGTCGGGCGTCGCGACGCGCTTGCTTCGCTGCCCTGCCCAGTAAGGGTGAAAGAGAGAGACAGACAGACAGACAGACAGACAGACAGACAGACAGACAGACAGACGGACAGACAGACAGACAGACAGACAGACAGACAGACAGACAGACAGACAGACAGACAAACAGACAGACAGACAGACAGACAGACAGACAGACAGACAGACGGACGGACGGACGGACAGACAGACAGACAGACAGACAGACAGACAAACAGACAGACAGACAGACAGACAGACAGACAGACGGACGGACGGACAGACAGACAGACAGACAGACAGACAAACAGACAGACAGACAGACAGACGGACGGACGGAGGACGGACGGACGGACGGACAGACAGACAGACAGACACTCCCCGGACGAAAGCGCGCCCGAAACGCACTGTCTCGGAATGACCCTTCTGAAGTGGTGCCTGCTTGCTCTGTTCCAGCTGGCCAAGCTGATGTCCTTCACCTGGAACGCGGGCTTCTTCATGTGCAAGGCGGTGCACTACATGCAGAACGTGTCCGCCATGTGCTCCGTGTTCACGCTCACGGCCATGAGCATCGAGAGGTGAGTTCTCCGTCGCCATTCGACGAATGTGACGTCATACGTCGACGAATGAGAACACTGGTAAAACTAAAGCATGACTGTATGCTTGAGTCATGCATAGAAACGCCAAACAAAGCCTAAAAAACATTTCAAAATTGTGAAATTTATGAGTTTTGTAAGGTGATGTGTTCAGTGATCATGAGTACACTCTTTAAAAAAAGTCTTCATGGCAAAATAGTGGCGGAAATTTTCGTCAGTGTGGTCAATGGACCATTCCATTACAAATTGATGACATTTAGGACATCATCAAAGCTGCTATTACGTATTGCATAGGCGTGACGAAAATGTCATCAAAGGGTTAGGGGTTAACGTTCTTGTGAGGAAAAGCATAGCCTTGAAATTTTCATCAAGTGACAAACCAGGGGGCGGCAACGACCTAGAAGGCGCGTGAAGCCATGCGCGAGTGAGGTGCAGGGGTAACTTATTTTGCTTCGATTGTAAGATCTAGCCCGTTGATTGCAAAACGCTTTCCACAGATCGAAAGAGCACAAAATTTGGGGTGCATCAGGCCTAAAAGACTGCGCAATACTTCCAATTCAACCGAACACAAGGGCGAAATCATTTACGTCAACATAGCGCATTCGAGTTATTTCCTCAATTTTGTGATTTTTGTGTTTTTCGGTGATTTTACTGCTCCTTAATATTAGGTAAGGGGGAGTTTCGAGAAGAGCAATAAGCCTAATGCACCCTATATTTCAAGCCCTTTCCATCGGTGCAAAGTGTTTTGAAAAACACAGTCTAGTTTTCGTAATCTCGAACAAGTGCGCAACCTCTGTACTGACGGCGCGAGCATCGCTTCACGCTCTCCCTAGGCCGTTGCCACTCCCTGGACAAACCAATCATTTTCGCAGTGCATGCGATGCATGCATGCATGGAGGCAGAGGGTGAGTCCAGCAATTTTTTTGAGGTCGCACTCTCTCGCCCCTTTGCTGCCTCGCCACAAAGAGACTGGCTGATGACGGCAATGTGCGAGTGGAGGGGAGGGGAGGGAGGGGAGGGAGGGGAGGGGAGGGTGACGCTGCGGTTCGTGTGCGCGTCAAGTCCCCCTAATGGAGGCACGGCAGCATGGACCGCAAGTCCACGAAAGGGTGACTGTTGTTGTTGTTTTTGTTGTTTATCGCTGATGGTGGTCATGGTGTTGCATAACACTTCCCGTCGTGTCTGCGCGTGTCAACACGTCATATTTTTTTTCAAATCGCTTTTTGTTTTTGAAAAAAAAATTTGGGAAACATTACGTTGATTGTTCGGTGAAGTGAAGTGATTGGAACCACACTGGTAAAACAAAGGCATAAAAATTACGCCCTTTAGGGCATTAAAAACTCTTTTACGCCCTTGCAAGGGCATAAATCGTTTTATGCCCTTGGGAAGGGCGTAAATGGTATAGGAATTTCAAGCAAAATTTTAATGCCCTTCCCAAAGGCATTAACGATTTATGCCCTTTAAGGGCGCAAATCGTTTACGCCCTTAAAGGGCATAATTTTTATGCCTTTGTTTCACCAGTGCAACCGCATTTTCGCTTCGGTCGGGAATCGTCGAAAATAATCCAACTCATGGGGCGGACGGCGCGGCGTGCAAATATGACGTCATCACTTTGGATGGGAGGGCGGTTCTGGGATGACAGTCCTATCTGAAACACAGAAGATGTTGATTAAACCGATTGCGGACGTGGGGGCGAATGGTGTCAAAAAGGAGGCCTGAAAGTGATGACATGATATTTCCACGACGCCCACGTTGCTTTCTGTCGAGCGACTCAGAAGATCGGTTTGTTGCTCTGTCTCTCTCGACGGAGAGCCCCATGAGTGCGACAGAGCGACGAAAACGACTCTCGGAATCAGCCTGCTGGCTGAAGGGAACGGGCTCCGAAGCGGAAGGCTTCGACCAATCAGAGACCTCCATCCCGTCCCCTTCGTCCCACGTGCGCCGCCCCAGCGGCCCCAGCAGGGCGCACCGCCGCACACCGCAGGGCTGCCGCAACTTCCACCCATTTTTCTAGCGGAGTGTTTATTGCTTTTATTGAGTGGGAAAGTGTGACGCGGGCGAGCCTCGCGGGGTGTCCCGCCCCGCCCCGCCCCACCTCACCCAACCCCACCTCACCCCGCCCCACCTCACTCCGCCCCACCCCCGCCGTGCCCAGCGCGACCGATTTGCCGGGGCCGATTTGGTGGTGCGTTATTGTTATTGGACTTGCGGGGCATGTTTGTGTGCTGTGGGCCCCAAAGACGCAGACTTACGGCCCGCGCCGTGCCGTGCCGTGCCGTGCCGTGCCGTGCCACGCCGTGCCGTGCCGTGGCGTGGCGCGCGTGTGCCGGTAGGGCGCACGGTGACGCGCGGCACCCCGCGACGCGAGCAAGCCTCTGGCAGCGTCTGCTCACTGTAAAACATAGGGTGGAAACTCCGCACTTGGAATGCGGAGGTGAGAAATTCGCAGCCTCCGCTCCGCACTTGAAAGTGCACTGTTAGAAAAAAAGTCCGTAAATTTACGGAGAAAGTTACTCTAATTTTGGGAATGGAGGCTCCGTAAATTTTCCATCTTTTTACGGAGATTTTCCATATTTTTACGGAGATTTTCCGTATTTTTACGGAGATGAACCGCATTTTTGCAGAAATAAACGCATTTTAACGGTTTACTTCCCTCCTTCTACCTCCGATTTTAATGCAAACAGTGTCCTTTTAGACGAAAGTGATATTCTCCAAAACTGTTTGAAGATCCACTTGACCACATGCCAGGATCGGATAAATGGACGGAAACCCAAAGGCGAGGTCGCTTTAGGGAAGGCGTACTCTTGGAACACCTAATCAGTTGGTCACCTAACCCATCGATAACGTGAATTAGTCTGTTCTTTTTGATAAGTAGGGCTTCTATTTCATTTATATACATAACTTCCATATTTTTACGGAGAAAATCCATAATTCATAAAAACGGAGATCTCCGTTAAAAAAAATGGACAGTCTCCGTTAAATTTCCGTATTTTTACGGAGTTTTCTGACAGTGTGTAGGAGTTAGCAGTCTCCATCACAGGTGTAAATGGGATCAGGATTTTCTGATCACCTAGCGCTGATCACTTTCTGGATCAGAAAATTGAAGATCAGGAAAAAACCTGATGCTTTTTCGAACACCTTTTCTGATGTTTTTTTTCCTGATTCCTGATCACGTTTCTGATCAGCGTGGCTCTGATCACCTCGGGTCTGATCACCACTGGAGTAGAATCAGAAATTGTATTATCAGAAATGTAACGATATCTGACTCAGGATATTTTCACGGTCGTGAAAGGTACGGAGATGAGGCAAACGGCTCTAGGGGGTCGAAACTGAGTCCGATCCAATTCTGCAATCCGTTTCACGCTAGCTCGCCATCAGCTCTCAAAATGCCAGAAGATATGGTCTAAATTTCATGACCTTGAAAATGCCCTAGCCAAATGTCGCGAACATACCGCTCACCAAATTTGAAACCAAAATTCCGAAAACTTTCTGTTTTACAGGCATCTAGATTTTTGAGACATCACGATTTTCTGATAGTTTTGCATGTTATCAGAATGTCTATGTTTTCTGATGACTCTATTCTGATCACTGTCTGATCACTTTTCGGATCAGAAATTTTCCCTGATCAATAATTAGCGATCAGACTTTTTCTCTGATCATTTCACAGTTATCAGAAATTCTTGCAATTCTGATGCCAATTTTTCTGATAGTACGCCAATGATCAGAAAATCCCAAATTTTATCAGAAAAATGGGTAAATGATCAGAAAATCCTGATCCCATTTACACCTGTGTCCTTCAAGTGTGGTGTTCTCCACACTCGTGTAAATTTTATCACATGTCAGAAACACCTGTCTGAAAACCTGATCAAAATTCGCGCACCTCTGATTGAGAGCTGAAAACTTATTCTGACATTCTGTAACTCAAGCCATCAATTTTGGAATAATTTTTCAGAATGTCAGCTTTTGGAGGCGCGCGAATTTTGATAAGGATTTCAGACATGTTTCTGACATTCTGACAAAATTTACACGAGTGGCACGTTTTAGCACTATGCCAAGGGGCTCTATGAGCGATCCTACACTTGAAGTAAGGAGACTGCAACCTTCACGCGTCCAAGGAGAATCACTCTGCACCAGGCCACTTGGTTTGACAGTGCAGCTGGGCCGCAACAGTGTGCTTGTTTAAATGGTTTGAATGTCTACCCCGTTTTTCGTGGCCGGAATGCAAATAGTAAATCAGGGAAACAGTGAGCTCGCTTTTCTCACGTCTCATTTTTAATGAACAAGAAAAAGTGGCGAAACAAATTGGCAACTCAGGCCCGCCCCGCTATTCCTCGATTTATCGCATACTTGCGGACCAGACTTAATTAACTTTCGTTTCAACGTGGAAACGCGAAAAAATTTGGGCTCGGGCCCCGAAAATGGGGTTTAGGGGAGTTTGGCCCCTTTGGCCCTCCCTCAGCTCACTCAGCTCACTCGTCTGCTGGCGGTAGAGTGAAAAATTAAACGGCGCAGTACACTGAGAGTCTCTCTCCGCCTTTATCGCACCCTTCCATGGGCAACGCAAAGTGCGAGAGGGACAGAGCGACGATTACGACTCTCGGAGTCAGTTTGCCGAGTCGGAGTTTCGCTCGCCAAAATCGTTGTTGTCTTTTGATTCGCTTGTAGGGCAGCCTCGGCCCCGGCCAGCCGCGCACCGCCTTGCCAAAGAGAGAATTCTGATTAAATTAAATTAGTCGCTTTGGCCGCGCGAGCCAAGCGTGAGTGGGCGGCCTTGTCCTCGGCTAGCACTCCTAGGAGCTTTTCGCTGCTTTGCCAAAGCTTTCCCGAAGCTTTACCCAAGCTTCCCCAAGCTTTGCTGCAGCTTTCCCGAAGCTTTACCCAAGCTTTACTCAAGCTTTGCCGCAGCTTCTCCGAAGCTTTACCCTTGCTTTGCCCGAGTTTTGCCCATGCTTTACCCAAGCTTGTCCACGCTTTGACCAAGA